TAACGCCCGACCGGAGTAGGCCCATGGGCAAGAAGCGAGGTAGGGGAAACGGCGAGGGGAGGGGGAGAACGGACCAAACAGAGTGAGAGCGGAGGAAGAGGGGAAAAAGGGAAAGGCACAGAAAGTAGCGAGGCCAAACAGAGGCAGGGGGAAACGGCAGAGGGGGGCGGGCAGGGAGAAGGAAGGGCCACTGAGAACAAGAGGGGAGGCAAAGAGTAGGAAAAGGGCGGGGGCAACAGGGAGAGGGGGGCAGGAGACAGGGGGGGAGGGGCCGACGACGAAGGGAGGGTGACAGCGGGGAGAAAGGGGAGGGGGCAGGCCGACAAGAGCACAACAGGGGGGGCCAAAGAGCAAGGGTGGGGCGGAAGCAAGAGCAGCGAGATGGGGGGGGCCGGAGGCAGGGCGGGGGGACAAAGGACCCGAGGAGGGAAGAGGCCCGGAGGGAGAGGAGGGGGCAAGGCCCAAAGGGGAAGCCGAGGAGGACGACGGACAGAAGAAGAACAATCAAACCAGGGAGGAGGGGGAGCGAAAACGCAAGCGAGCAAACCTCAAACGGTGAGGGCCGGTGACAAGAAACAAAGGAACGGGAACACCCCACGGGGCGGAACGGGAAGACAGCGGGAACAGCAGACAGAAACGAAGCCAGCGGAAACGAGAAGAGAGAAGATGGGCAGGGCACCGCCACAACCACACGCGGTGGGGAAGGGACAGAGGAAAGGGGAAACGAGAAAGAAAGGAAGGCGGAGCGGACGTAAAAAAAGACGGAAAAAGAATAGGGCGGAAGACAGGCACCCCAACAGAGGCGACCACAAGCCTGAACAGAAGGCCAGAGGCGAAAGCCAGAACAGGAGCAGAGAAACGAGAGGGGAGACAGCGCAAACGAAGAGACGAAGCGAACGCGAGGGTGCGGCACGGGGCGGGCCCAGCGGAAAGTGCGCGGGGGGCAAGCAACACAGAGACAACAGGAAAAACACCCGGGAGCACGAAGCGAAGAGAACCACACGCAACCCGGGAAAGCAGGCGGCAGAGACGGGGAAACAGGGGAGAGGGAAGCAAGAAGCGAAGCGCAAAGCAGGGGAGAGTGCAGCAGGGGGGCGAAGGCGGGCACCCGAGAAGAGCAGCGGGCGAGGCGGAGAGAGGGAAGAGACAGGAGCACGGAGAGGCGCAACAGAGAGACGGCGCAAAGAGCGGGCAAGCAAGGCAGGCGGACAGAGAGCGAGCAGGCGAAAAGAGCATAGAGAACAGGGGGCACAAGGCGGCCACACGCGGAGCACAGAACGGAGGAAGGAGAACGGCGACGACAGACACAAGAAGCAGGCGCAAAGGAAGACCGGAAGGGAAGCGCGCAGGGAACAAGGCAGCGGACCGAGGGCCAGGTCGCAGACAAGCAGGGAGAACAGGGGATCGGCGGCTTGGAGGCCAAGGAGTGCAACAAAGCATGACCGGTGGAAGCGCGGGCCAACAAAGAAGAGGACGCGGAGGCAAGCGCGCGGCAACAGGAGCAGACGCGGAGTGCTAAGCAGGCCCAAAGAAGAGGCGCGAGCAAGTAGGAACAATAGGCAGCGGAGGCAGGAGGGCAACGACGAGGCGCGGAGGCAAGCCATGGGCAATAAGAGAAGCGAGGAGCCAGCAGGGAAGAGGCAACCGAGCAGCGTGGCCCAAACAGAGACGAGAGACGCGGAGGCCAGCGCAGTGCCCGCCTAACAAGAGAAGCAGACGCGAGGCAGGCTGAGTGGCAACATAGAGACGCAGACGGCGGAGGGCAAGCGCGTGGCAACAATGGAGAAGCAGACTTGGAGGGGCAAGCGAGGGCAACAAGAGACGCAGCAGGCTGGAGGGGGCACAAGAGACGCAGACGCAGAGGTTTGGCCCAATGCGCGGTGCCCAACAAGAGAAGCGGGACGCTGAGGCAAGCGAGGCACAAGAGACGCAGGCGCGGAGGCAAGCGAGGGCAACGAGAGCAGGGGGGCAAGAGACAAGCGAGGGCAACACATGAGGCAGAGGGCAAGCGAGGGCAAGGCGCAGGGCAGCGGAGGCAAGAAGAGAGCAGACACGCAGAGAGAAAGGAGAGGACGGGCGGGGAGGGGCGGGGGACGGGCGCGAGGCGCGCGGGACGCGCGGGCGGGCGCGCGAGGCGGGAGGGACGCGCAGACGGGAGGCGCGGGGGACGCGCGGGCGGGAGGCGCGGGGACGCGCGGGCGGGCGCGGAGACGCGGAGACGGCGGAGGGGGGCACAGAAGGGGGAAGGACCCCAGCGGGAACGGCAGAAGGCCGACCCAAGAGCGCCGACCGGCGACGGAACCAAGCGCGGGGGGCAAACGCGGGGGAAGCAGGGAGCGAACGAGGAGGGGGCACACCCCCGAACCAGGAGGCCAAGCCGGGCGGGAAGGGGCCAACCGCGGAACGGGGGAAGACGCCGCGGGACAGAGACGGGGACCGCAAGGGCCAGAAAGAGCGCCCGAGAGGAACAGAGGCCAAACGGGAGCCGCCAAAACCGCACCGAGAGAGAGAAGACAGAAAGAGAGCGCGCAGGCAGCAAGCGCAGGCAGGCAACAAGGCGACGACGGCGCAAGGCAGCAAAGAAGGAGAGACCACAGGCGGAGGGGGGGGAAAGGAGGCGGGGACGCACGGGGGCCCCGGAGGCAGGGGGAAAGAGGACGCAGGGGAAAGGGCAAAAGGCGCGAGAACAGGCGGCGAAAGCAGGGAGAAACGAACAGGAAGGAGGCAAGAAGAGAGCAGCAGGCGCGGGGGCAACAGAGCAAGGCGAGACAGGGCACGCAACAAAGAGGCGGCGAGGCGCAGGGAGCAAAGAAGACAAGGGAAGCAGGCGGGCAGAAGAAAGCAGAGGCGCAAAGGAGCAGGCGGCGGGACGCAAGAAAAAGCAGCAGAGCACAAGAAGCAACAAGGGCGCAAACACAGAGAGGGAGCAAAAGAGGCACGGGGGGGGGACAGGGCGCACAAAAGCCGCGCGAACAGACGGGGGGAAGCCAAAGGCAACGAAAGCAAAGCCAAAACGGGCGGCAGACGAGCCCGAAGAGCCGAGCCACAAGGGCCGGAACACGCGGGCCGAAACGACACGGAGCGGAGCCACAAGGCCCGGCCAGGCACAAAACCGGCACAGGACCAAAACGCAGGGACCGAGGGCGGGACGCCGCAGGGGCCGCCCCGGGAGCGCCGGGAAAGGGCCGGGACGAGGCAACGGCCCCCGCCAGAGGGCCGCGGCCCGAGGCCCGGGCGGGCACGGCGCGGAGCCGTGCGCCGGCGCGCGGCGAGGAGCGCCACGCGGAGCGGGGCACACGGGGGGGCACCAGAGAGCAGGGCGACCGGCAAAACGGGGCCAAAAACAGGCCAAAACAAAGGCCAACAAAGCACAATAACAGCGAGAGCACGGCCAAACAGAAACACCAGAAAAAACGCAGAAGGGCGACGCAGGGCGACGCAAAACGAGGCGGCACAGAGCCAAAACGAAAGAGGAAGCCAGGGGGGAGACCGCGGGGAGGACGCGGCGGGGCGGGGGAGCGCGGCGGCCGCGGGCGAGCGGGAGCCGCCGGCACCACCGACACGGCCCAACACACGGGCGAGCCGGAGCCGAGACGGCAAAGACGAAAGAAAACGAGAAGAGAAAAGGAGGCGAGAAAGGAAGAGGAACAAGCGGACGAGGGGGGGGGGCGCGGGGGGGGCAGACAAAGGGAGGAAGAGGCAAGGAAAGGAGAGCAGGAAAAAGGCGGAGGGGGAGGGGAGAGAGGGGGCATAAACCCGAGGAGAGCACAAGGGGGGGGGAGGGCAAAGGGGGGAAGGGGCCCAAGCGAAAAGAGGAGGGAGAAGGGAGGGGGAGGGCGGGGGCCACCAGGGAGCAGGAACCAGAGCGAGAAAAGGAGAGGGCGGGAGGACGGGGGGGGAAAGGGAAGGGGCCAAAGCGAGAGGGGAAGAACACGGGGGCAAAAGGGCCGGGGAAGGCGCCCGGGCGCACGCGGAGAAAGGCGAGGGAGCGGGGAGAAAGCGGAGCGACGCATAAGGGAGGGCGGGGGCAGGCGGACGGGGCGGACGGAGCGGGGGGAGGAGAGGGGCAGCCGGCGGAGGGCGGGAGGGAGGGGGACGACCCGAGCCGGGGAAAAAGGGGACGGAGCCGGCGCGGGGAGCAGGGCGGGGGGGCGGGCGGGCGGAGAGCCGAAAGGAGGCGGAGAGGAACAAGGGGGAAAGCAAAAACAAAAAGGCAGAAAGGAAAAGCAAAAAGCAAAAGAAGAAGGAACGGAAAGGGAAAGACGGAGAGACGGAAAAAGAAGGAAAGAAGGAAGAGAAGGAGAGGGGAGAGACGAAGACCAAGAGGGAAGACGAAGGGACGAAGGGAGGAAGGAGGAGGACGAAGGAGGCGAGGAACGAACAGGAAGAGGCGGAACGCGGAAGGGCGAGACGAAGAGGCGAAGAGACGAGACGCAAAAAAAACGACAGAAGGACAGACAGACGAGCGGGACGACGGACGACAGACAAAGGGACAGAACGGGGGAAAGGGAAACGAAGCCCCACAAAAACAAAGGCACCCAAAAAAGCAGCAACGCGAGCAGGCAGCAACGCCGAGACGGGGAGAAGGCAGACAGAGGAGAGGGAGGCGGCGGCCGGGGAGGGGGGCAAGGGAGGGAGAGAAGGAGGACACAAGCAAGGAAACAAAGGAAAGCAACGGAGCAAGCAGGAGAAAAGGAAAAACAGAGAAGGGAGGAGAGAAAGAGGGGCGCAGGAAGCAGGGGGCCAGAGCAGGGGGAGGAAGGGCCGAGGGCGGCAAGAGACCGGAAGGAGAGAGCAACGGGACCAACGGAAGCCGGGCCGGGGCAGAGGAAGGGGGAAGCGGCAGCAGGGCCAAACGGGCCAACGGAAAGGGAACAGACAGAAGAAAAGAGGCCAGACAGGACCAAAGGCCCAAGGGACAGGAGGCAGCAACGGAGGACAAGGGACCAGGCCGGCAGACGGACAGAGGGACAGAGGGGAGACGGACAGGAGGCGAGAGGGCCAGGGGGCGCAAAAAAGAGCAAGGGAGAGGAGAGGAGGGCCAAAGGGACGGGAAAGAAGCAAGAAAAGCAAGGAAGGGAAAGAAGAACAGGACAGGAAGGGGAGCAAGGGGAGAACAGAGACCGCCCACGGCCACCAGCACCACGGAACGCGGCAAAAGAAACAAAGAAAAGGAGGAACAAGGGAGCAAGGAAAAGAGAAGGAGAAAGGAGGAGAAGGGGAAACGACAAAGGCAGACCGGGGGCAAACCGCGCCAACGCGGCCAGAGGCGCCGCAAGACAGAAAGGAGGAGGGGGCGGGCGAAGCCAAGGGGGGACACACCAAGGCGGCCACAAGGGGGGGAGGAAAGAACGCCGAAAAGGATGCCAAGACGCGGCCAGAGGGACGGAAGGCAGAGGCGGAGGCGACAGGGGAGAGGGGAAGGGCGAGGACAGCCCGAGCAAGCGGAGACAGAACCGAAACGACAGAGGGGAGCGGCACCAGCCAAGGAGGCAAAGAGGCGGCCGCGGCAACGAGGCCCGCACGCAAGGAAGAGCCAACGCAGGGGGGCGGACCCCAGACGCCAGCGGGGCGGGGAAAGGGGGACGGCAGAAAGGGGGGCGGCCAACAGAAACAGAAGAGGCAGAGGGAGGGGGACAGACACAGGCACAGAAGCGGACAGAAGAAGAGGCAGAGGGAGAGAAGAAGCAGCAAAGAACGCAGCAAGACCAGCAACGACGGGGGCATGAGAAGGGGGACCCGGGCCGCACCAGACAGAGGAGGAAAACGGAGGAGGCAGAGACGCGAACGGGGCGCGAGGGCGAGAAGGGGGCAAAAAGAGCAGGAGAGGCAGGGGGCCTAGCCCAAAGGGGCCACAGCACCCCAAGACGGCGCAAAGGGGGCCGGCAGAGGGGCCCCAGCACACCAACGGGCCCACCAACGGCCACCAGGCCGGGCAAGAGGCAGGACAGAGCAGAAAGCGCAGGAAAGAAGGGGGGGAGGGGACAGAGAAAGAACCAGAAAGGCGAAGGGGCAGGGCAGAAAAACACGGCAGGAACGGAACCAGACGGCCAACAGAGGCCCAGGCCAGAAAAGCAGGAAGGGAAGGACCCAAAGCAGACGGGAAAGAGCAAGCAGACGCCAAAGAGGCAAACACGGGGGGGAAGGGAAGGCAGACGGCAACAGCAAAGAGGGAGAGGGCCAGCGGGGGGAACAGCGAAACACAAAGAAGACCGGGGGGCAAGACGCAACCAAGCAGCCAAAGCCCGGAACGGCGGAGGCGAGCAGGAGAGGGGCGAACAGAGCGAACCACCGCCCGAACCGGCGGAACGAACGAGCACAAGCCGGAAGACCAGCGGGAACGACGAGGGGAAGAGAGGGGCAAGACAGCGCAGGGGAAGAGACGGGGCCGCACAGGAGAGGAGCCCCAAGACACCAGGGGGGCGGCAGAAACCCCAGAGCAGGGGCAGGGGAGGAGGCAGGAGCAACAGGCACAGAAAAACACAGCGCGAAGCCCCCACGCAAGCAAACAAGGGGCGAGGGCGGGGGCGAGAGAGGCACCGGGGGGAGAAGGAACAGGGACAAAGGCAAGGAGGGGCGGAGGAAGCGGCCACGCAGAAGCAAGGAAAAGGGGCAGGAACGACCAGGGAGGGAAGGCGGGGGAGGGAGGGCCAAGAAGCGGGAGGGAGACGAACCCGAGGACGGCGGCCCCGGAAAAAGGGCGGCAAGGGCAGGCGCGCCGCAGCAGAGACAACGAGGAGGGCCCGACGGAGAGGCCACCGGGAGGGAACGAGAAACCGAGGGCAAGCAAGAGCGAGGAACCGCCGGAAACCGAGGCCCGCCACAAACCGAAAGGGCAAGGCAGCGAGGAGGAGCAGGGCAACCAAGGCCCGCCGGAGGGACGCGGGAGGAAAAACCCAAGGCCCGAGGGCGCCCACAGGAGGCGGACCAGCGGGAAGGGAGGGAACAGCCGGAAAGGGGAACAGGGACGGCCGAGGGGCCGGGAGGGAGGAGGGGGCAAACACACCAGGGGAGGCGGAAGGAAGAAGGCCAGGGGGGGGGCGCACAAGGAGAAAGGGGGGCCACAAGAAAGGCAGGGGCCGGGGACAACCACAGGGAGGGGCCGGGAGGGCCGCAAAGAAGCCCAACGGGGGGAGGGAAGCAACCGGGGCCGGGGGGGAGAACAGCAGGAGGAGAGGGGGCGCAGGCGGGGAGGCGCAACAGGGGGGGCGGCCACCCCGAAGGGCCAGCAAGGGAAGGCGCGGGGAGGGGACGACCAAGGCAGACGGAGAGGTGCCAGCGAAAAAGGGGAAGGAGCAGGAACATGGAGGCAGTGAGGCAAAAGAGAACAGGGCGCACAGGCAAGCAGAGCATGACAAGGAACAGAAGCACAGAAGCAGAAGGAGGCCAGAAGCAGACACAGTGGGGCAGGCAGGGGCAAAGAAGACAGAAGGAGGGAGGAGGAGAGGAGGGGGCGGAGAGGGAAGCGGCAGGAAGTGGGGAGGGAATGGCAAACAGCCAGGAAACGGGTAGTACGGGGACAGGGGGAAAAACAAAGCCAGAGGTAAGGGGGAAGGCCCGGGCCAGAGAGGCCCAGACAGGGGGAGGACAGGCAGGCCGCAGGGGCGCAGGCAGCAGGAGCGAGAGGGACGAGGCAAGGGGACACCCCGGAAAAGGGAAACACGAAGCAGGGGAGGAAGAAGAAGGAAGCCAAGGGCCGGGCCGAACCAGGGCGAAAAAGCCGGAAAGGGAAGAGGCGTAGGGACGAGAGGGGGACGGCTCAGGAAGGCAAAAGGGGGGTGACCGTGGGTCGGCGGGGAGGGGGGCCCGGGGGCCCGGGGCGGGCCAACGAGTAAGGGGAGAAACGGCGGGGCACCGAAGAGGGGAGGCAAACGAAACGAACAAGACGCGCGCAGGGCAGGCACCGGCAAGGCAAAAACGCCAAAAACGCAAAAAACGCGAGCCGCGCGCGAAAAGAAGCGAGCGGCGGCGCCAGCAAGAAAGGGGGCAGCCAAACCGGGCAAGTAGGGCCGAACCAAGAGGCCGACGGGCGCCGGATGGGCCAGAGGACTAAGGGGAAGAGCCGGAGCTGGGAGGGGGAAGCGCAGGGGAGGGGCGGGGGAAAAGTAGCGGGCGGGTGGGGGGGGGGGGGAGGAAGGAGGGGGGAAGAGGAGCGCGAGGAAAGGCCGAGAAGGGGGAGAGAGAAGGGAGGAGGAGAAAAAGGGAACGCAGGCGGACAAAACCGAGGGCGGACGCACAGGAGGAGGCGGGGCGGCGGACCGGCGGCAGGCGGGGAGAGGGGGGAGAGCGTGAGGAGCGAGAGGGGGAGGCAGGTGGGAGGCGGGAGTGAGAGGGGTCGGGAAGGCAAGGGCCGAGGGCGGGGGCAGGCAGAGGAGGGGGGCGGGGGAGAGGTGGAGGGGGGGGGGACGGGAACGGGGCCGGGGGGGGGAATAGCCCGAAGGGAGGAAGGGAGACGGAGGGGGGACCGGGCGGAACGACAGCAGGGCCCGACCGGCCGCCCGCACCCGCGCGGAAACCGGGCGCGGGGGGGGGGACCCGCAGGCGGAACACGGGGTGGGGGCCACCCGGGGCGCGACCCGCGGGGCCAGAGGTCGGGGGTGGCGGGGAGGGGGGCCGCGGGAGGCGGGGGCCGCGGAGGAGGGGGGGACCGCCCGGGAGGGGGAGGGGCGAGGGGGGAGGCGGCGGGAGGGGCGGACGCGAGAACGGGGGGAGGAGCAGGCTTAGGAGGGGGGATGCGGGAAGCGGGGGGAAGGGTGCGAACGGGGGAGGGGGGGACGGGAGGCGGAAGGGGAGGGGCGCAACAACGGGGGGGGACCCGGGGAGAAGCAGAGCGAGGGGAAGGGGATAGGCGAGTAGGGGGGTGGGGCGGCGAAGGGGAGGCAACGGGGGGGGCACAAGCAGGGGTGGCAGGAGAAGCCGGGGGGGGGAGGATGGGCGCAAGGGCGGGAGGGGAGGGGGAGGAGGCCGAGGCGGGAGCGGAGGAGGCGGGGGCGCCGGGGGGGAGACGGGAGGGGGGGGGGGGGAGCCGGAAGCGGCGGGAGGAGAGGGAGGACGAGGGGGACGAGGAAGGGGAGGGGGGAAGGACGGGAGCGGGGCGCACGATGGGGGGGGGGGAGGAGGAAAGGAAGGGGACCCGTGCGACGGAGAGGCGGCGTCTACTCGGGGAAGGAGGGGGGGGAAGGGGTGGGTGGTGGGGTGGAGGGGGGTTTGGCGACGGGCCCCGACTGGGAGAAGGGGGGACGCAGTAAGGACATTTGTGGGGGCCGCGAGGAGGATCGTGGGGGAACGGGGAAGGCCGCGAGGGAGCCAGACGGGGTGGAACAAGGCGAAGGGGAGAACTTGGGAAGGGGAAACGGAGAGAGGAGGAAATCGGAGGAGAGGAAGGGAGCAGGGGAGGGGAAGGCCGGGCGTGAGGAGCAGGCGGGAGGGACGCCACCGGGAGGTGGTGGGGGGTCAGCCGGAGGGGGGGCGAGGGGGGGGGGGCGGGGCGGGGGGATGTGTGGTGAGGTAGCGTCGGCGGGAGGAGGAGGGGAGGAGGCGAGGGGCTGGACGGCGGGCCGCAAGGTGAAAGGATGAGAGAGGGTTGAGGGCCGGGGCGGAATGGGGGTGGAGTGAGAACAGAGCTGAGTCGAGGCGAGGGAACGCGGAGGAGGGTGACAGCAAGGGGCGCGGACCGGGGGTTGATGCCTCGGGTAGTGGACAGGTGGGGAGGAGAGGCCGAGCGCGCGAGAGGGGGACGGAGATGAGGAGAGAGCCAGGCCGAGACGCGGAGCCGGGGGGCATGGCGGGCCGGAGAGGGGAAGGGGGGTGGAGAGGGGGGGGGGGACGAGCCGGGGCAACCAGGGGAGGGGGGGCAGAACGCGGCCGAGGGGGAGAGAGCGGCCGCGGGACGGGGCGGGAGGAGAGGGGACCGGGAGAAGGGAAGGGGGAATAAAGGGGGAAAAAGCTGGGGGGGACAGGGGGAGCAGAGCCTGAGGGGGGCAAGCCAGGAGGGAAGAGGGAGAGGGAAGAAGGGAAGGGCGGAGGGGAGCGACAGAAAGGGGACCGGAAGGACCGAAGGGGGAGGAACGGAGGGATGCGAAGACGCCGGGAGCGGGGAGGGGGGGGGGGGGGGGGGGTGGGAAGGGGCGGCGCGGAGGCGGAGGCAGGAGGGCGCGGGAGCGGCGAGGAAGGGCGCGCAAGGGTTGGGCCGACCGGAACCGGGGGCGGGGAAGCGCGGAGGGCGCTGCCGGCGGCAGCGGGCCCGCCGACCCCAGAGACGGCGACCAACGAGCCCAGCGGTGCGCAGAACCGGCCAGCAGAGGACCAAACAAGGAGAGGCGGAGGGAGGCCGGGGGGCCACAACAACCCGCCGCCGCCGCACCGGCGGGGAAGCGCAGTCGGGGGAGGAGGGGCAGGGACAGAGGGCGGGCGGGGGGGGCGGAGAGGAAGAGCGGGGCTGCGGGAGGAGGGGAGCATAGGCGCGGGAGAAGAGGGGGCGGTGGGGGGGCCCAGTAGGAGCGCCGCGGGGAGGGGCGGCGGGGCGGGGCCACGAGGCCAGAGCGGGGGGGCTCGGGGCACCGAAGGCCAGCGGGCCAGAAGAGCCGGAGGGGACGAGGAGCCGGAGAAGCGACAAGGGGAGGAGAGGGCGACCGGCCCACGGGAGAGCGGACAGAGCGGACCGAGGTAGGAAGGACAGCGGCAGTCAGGGCGGCGGCAGTCGGCGGGGGGAAGACCACAAGCGGGGGCGGGAGCGAGGTTCCTGGGGGGTGGAAGGGGGGGGCCACCGAGGGACAAAGGGGATGAAGGGTGGGGGGCGGGATGCACTGACGGACCCGGAAGCGCGTGGATCCGGGAGCTATAGCTGGACGGGGAAGGAGGCCGACCGGAGCGCAGCGGAGCGGAGCGGGTTGGCAACAGCGTCAACGGGGGCGGGAGGGGGCAAGAAGAGAACGGGAGGAAGGGGAGCGCGAGGGGCAAGAAGCCAAGGCCAAAGAGGGCAGAGCCAGAACCCCGCACCGCCGCCGGCGCAAGGTTAGCGAGCGAGCCGCGAGAGCGGTGTGAGAAAGGAAGGCCGGGCTCGGCGTTTTTTTTTTTTTTTTTTTTTTTGTGGTGGTGTGTGTGGTGTTTTTGGCAAGAGAGGGGGGAAGGACCCAGCGGGGAAGGAGGGCAAGGAACGCGCGGCAAGGGGGCAAAGGGGGGAAGGGGCCACAAAGCCGGGGAGGGCCACCGGCAGGCCACCAGCAGCCCTGGCCAGCGAGCGCGAGCCGAACGGGCCAGCAGGAGGAAGGTCTTTG